GGGGGGGGGGGGGGGAGCGGAGCTACAGGTAGGCCATGCGTCTTTACTCTCCCATGTTTGTTTCCATCTGTCTATCCGTGCAATTTTCCATCACTAAATGGCCGACATACCCTCGACGTGCTTTTCTGTACAAAGTCCACGGGTAATCGCCGGCTCTCCTTGCCCTCTAGTGACAAGCACTTCGTCTCTTTGTCCCCACGCGTTTGCTGTGAGCGAGTTCAGCCAAGGCTTCTGTGCCCTAAGTTCAGACCACGCCGTGGGTCCTCCCTTATTATCATCATTGACGAAAGAGTTTTCTCCAGGGAAGAGAAAGTTTCGAAGCCCTTTGACCGTTCTATTGATTCCACGCTGTTGAGACAAAGCCTTGCTGTCTACCTTCTTGATAGGCTCGGAGCTTGTAGAGAGCTCAGAATGTCTCCAACAGCCTGAGACCTTGTGTGACCACGTGTGAGACGGAGTTTGTAAATAACCAGTTATTGACGTAGAAGTAATGACAGTAATGGTACCAACGCATCCTTGATTGCCATATTGAAAAGATTATCTATTTCACTTTACTCTCGATCTTGTCGATATTTGGCAACTTTTCTTTTTCTTTTTTTTGTTGTTGTTACGACGAGCACAGACACAAAAAAACACCTGCTGGCCATTGGAATTTGGTCTGGGTACAAAAGTCCTAGACAACATTCTGTGAGTGCACCGTAGAGTGGCGGAAGCGAGCAGCGGCTGCCAAGTTACAGACAACACATACAGGAGAGAAACGCCACAGTGGGAACGAGCCAATTAATTCCTACGTTGAAAAATCACGCATCGAGGCCTTTTTTCCTCAGACCTGGGAAAGTTCGACTGGAAAGATTATCGGGCAAATAGATTGACTGCTCCATGCTTTCCCGCGTTGTTTAGTTAAAGAAATTCTTCCAAGTGCTTGAGAAGTATACAACACAGACGTTTACAGGGTTGCCGAAAGAGTTCAAAGTTTGAAGTTCAAAGTTCATGCCTGTTTTGAAAATCTTGACACCGAGTTGTTTGAAAGAGGAGACGTCACATTCGGCCCGTTGTCTCTGTGCACCAGTTCGTGTAGGGGCTCGAACCGCAGACCGTGAGGGGCAAGTGGAAACTGACAGCAGCTACGTGGACATAGAGAACATCCTTGCGAACAGTTCAAAGGTCAAGGGTAATCTCAGTGAGGAACTTCCACCCGGTGCATCCACGAATGAGAGAGGTACGCTAGACGACCAAAGTGAACGTCGCAAACCATCTCCGAGCACGTCGTTAAAGAGGAACCTTTCGGAAGAGAGGGCATCTCATAGCTCTCATCTAAGCGCGCAAGATGCCATGCATACATTGCCAGACATGTCGAAGAACTCTGCTGTGAACGATACTCCCACGCACGACACGACAGTGCGCGGAGGACGGCCGTTAGACGCTGATCATCTCAACAACTCAGCTGAATGTATCCCCACACAAACGTTGTGTGACACTCACGAAGGACCACTCACCAGCTCTGAGCCAAGGCTCGGCGTGTCCCCAAACGTCGCAGCAGTCACCCCGCGGCGCTCTGATGCTCGGCCTGAGAGAAACGCCAACGGCGGGAAGCAGCAGACTCCACACACCACTTCCGGTAAGGCCGGCTCCGCGGCACCTGTTTGCGCCCCCTGGCGGAAGTGCCGACAGCGACGAGTGTACCGACTGATTCTCCTGGCTGCCTGCTGCTCTCTTCTGGCCTTCCTGACGGGACTGCACAGACTGTATCTCTCCACCTTTGACCCATCCGACCCCCGATTTGTAGAAGACGAGGCAGGCCTGACCCCCAGCAAGGACTCCGGACGCTATGGCGTCGATCATGCGCAGACGGTTGTCTTCTTCCCCAGTCCTGGAGCTGGCCCGACCCTGGGCAGTGTGCCAGTCAACGCGTCTGTCGGCGGGAACTTTTCCCTGGACAGGCGGAGGAGGGAGATTGTTGCAGAAAACGGAAGTGAGGAGGGTGAATGCTTTTAGACAGTA